TCCAAGGACACATTATGGGTATTATAAGAAAAAAAAAGACAACTTTATTTCAAGATCTGCCAGAACAATGTACTAATTTTACAAAAGTTTATTGTAAACGGATCAAATCAATTCTTGAAGCTCTGGAGAGTAAGACTTTGTTTCTACCTCAGAGGAATTTGGTGAAGAAATGACCCGCAGTGAGTCATTTGTCTCCGGTTCCGGCTGCAGCTGGGTCTCTGGTTCTGGTGGTTCTTCTCTGGAAGAGTTGAGCTCTCTTTGGCTTCTCTCTTCCAACAATGACAACTGCCGTCGCTCTTCCTAGATTCACATGTATTGAAGCAAACTATAACAAAACTTGTTTATACTTTATAAAATACAAATATATCACTCAAACATGGCTGAAAATTGTAAACTTTTGTTTTTTTGTAGTGCATTTTTCAGTGTAGGAATTAGCTTCAGCGYTACTAACGTGCATTATCCAACATCCAGCCATCTGCTGAGGGTTTTCTTGGACATTGTGTGCAATGTGAGTGGGTGTCAGTGATAACCAGGCCATGTCTAATGTGGTGTGTCACTGATGATTAGCGAGGGTTCCCCATGCCAGGTGACTCACCCGCTCTCGGAGCAGCCTCTCTCTTTCTGCCTTGGCTTCTCGCAGCTTCTTCTCGATCTCTACCAGGTCCAAGAGGCTCGGGCTGCGAAGGAGGAGGAACAATAAACATTCGAATCAGAAATTCTTTTTTTTAAAAGAAACACTTGCTGCAGATTTGTGGATCACTTAGTTATTTAGAAAGAAAAACGATCAATTTAAAGTCCATGTGTATTTTAACAGGCAGGAGCCAATAAAACCAAACTGAACAGTTTGTGTTAACTAATGCAGGTAACAGAGCTAAGTGATTCAAGGGCCAGGCTAGCTTGTACCTGGTTCACACGGCAGAATAATTGTGCCAACTTTTGACCTGATCTTGTCCTTCCGACAATCCGGATGCCTTGATTATCGTGATGGCTCTAAAGATAATTTTAAAAGGGAACTTCCTGTCTTTCATTCAGTGTGGTTTTGACTTGTCAGCCGGTGGCAAAATAAACCTCACTCACCCAGAATTCTGGGTTGTATATTTATTTCCTATCACAGATCATCTTATTTAACACGTGTTTTCATCTGATTTCAGCCGATATTAAACACGTATTTCTTACAGTTTGGTGACCCCGACGTTCGGTRTATTCTTTGGCTAATTTATACCACTAAGGGGGTATGTGGAGATGGTCTAGCAGTGTTTTCTCAGTGATTGGTAAACATGGTGAGAATAGAGTTATAAAACAGTTTAAGTCTATAAGGTGGGCTAAATAGTGATCTGATTACAATTAGGGTGGTTGATGTTGTTTGTAGCTTAGGGAAAGCTTAYGAAAGATATTCCTGCTGTGTGTTAAGAGTTATATGCTCAGTAGGACGTCCAACCTCATACTGGGGATATTCAAAATACTGGATGGTTTTTGCCAGATATCCCAGCATGTGTGGTGTTCCCAGAGGACAAACGAGCCCGGAGTCTGTTGACTGCGACATGTAGCCAATCCGAAAGGGAGGTGATGGAAACAAAAGAGGAGAATCCAAAATACAGAAGACAAAACAACTGCCATGTAGAGAGTCTGGTGGACGTCAGAGATKTCTTTTTGTTTTGTTTTTTCTCTGCTAAATGTAGTCCACAAACTGTCACCATCGCTTCTTCCTCGTCTGCCATGTTTGTTTACTCTGAACTCATGTTTGATCCTGAGAGATTCCTCGAGGTTTCCCATCTAACATCTGAATGTTTGTGAATAAACCTGTTATATGTATGACTTTTTTTTATCGTCATGTGCGTAGGGTCTCTCAGTCTTTGAAAATTAGACAACAATTTTAAAATATTGCAGTGTGATCCAGGTATTATGTTTAAGGATTATTAAAAATTCCAATGTTGAAATAAAATCCACCCGACTCAAGTAAAATAAATACATAAATATTATATCAAATGTGCCAAAAAAGGATGAAAACAAAGGGGTGAGTTGAACATTTAAAAACGTACATCGCTGAGCCACTAGTATTTCTTATATAAACCCCTAAAACCACGCTGAGCGAACAAGAAGTGACTAARCTGACCTGGCAGCTCGAGAGCTGGTCGCACTGTTGCACGGAGTGAGGAGCGCACCACCGTTAGTGGACCCGGGTCTGAGGCCGTTACTGTGCCCATTGCTGAGTCTGTGGGATGAGACGGGGGAGACGTAGACCTCGGAGGTCTGACTGTTGGGAAGCGTTCTCACCAACCCTGAAGGTAAAAGGAGAAGCAGAAACCTGGATGAAGATGTAGCACAGAAGAAAAGGTGACTCAAATCACTCAAACTGTACTGAGACGTTTCAGYTACAGCATTCAGGAAACAAGTAAATAAGTCGGGAGATGAAATGAAAACACCTGGCAAGACTTGACACGACCTACTCAAATACTTAGGGAYGGGTAGAGGAGTGTGTGAGAAATAAAAACAGATAACACTGAGGAGATTTGAAGCTTAAGCATACATGTGCTTCAGACAAATCCTGCTCAGCATCAGAGTAACGAGCTCTCCTGACACACCTTTCATTTGACTAAAAGGGAGGGAACTGAGCAAACAGACAAAATGCGTACACGAGCGCACAGTGAACTCCTTTATTGTCCTGCGTTGCAAAGCTTGAGCAATCAGGAGCGTAATGAGAGACGGACATAAAGAGGGTGGCTAMCAGCTCACCCTGGACTGAAAGCGGCCTGTCGCTGGCTCGGCTGTTGCGATGCGAGCTCCTTCTTCTGGGCAAACTGACGTCTTTGCTTGGTTCCTAAAGAGCGGGAAAAAATGATAAAAWGAAAAAATATAATTTGTGTTTAAACAAAGAAATACAAGCATTTGATTTAAGCAAAACTATTAATATTAAAAATAAACACTTTAAACTATCAGCTGATTTACGTCCAGTTGTTATTTTTGTGACATCATGCTATCTACAGCATTAAAACCACCTGTTGTATAAGCACACCAAAACTGGAACTTGGACCATCTTTTGGACCAGACCTCCATGATCTGTTTTGTTTACTGGGATTAAGTGAGCCTAGAAGTTGTTTTTTTTTAATATAGCTAATATGCACAGTTTTGTTCAGTCAATTTGTTGCCATCTGTGCAACAAATTCACAAGACATTCTTACAAAACGGCCGGAGAATTCCCACCACCCAGTACTTTGCAGTGGTTGTAACGTTGTGACAGATAACGGCTGGACCGGCTGCGCACCTGTAGAGGCTTGTGAACTGTCAGAGGAGACAGTGACATCATGCACGGAGAGGAGCCGGTGATGTTTGACCAATCGGTGAGCGCCTTCTTCTCCCTGAGAACCTGTTGAACCAGATTCAATTTCAAGATTCAGCAATGGATTCTCAAAGGCTACTTGCTTAAAGAAACAAATAATAAAAGCTGATTTTAGCTGTAAGAGCACAAACACTGCACCTGGAAAAGCTACAGTGTTAAGATGTCGTCACATCTGGCTGAGCATTTAAACCGAACCCTCGTTCATGATGAGTTTAAAAAAAAATTATCACAGCCATACTATCTCTGCTCTGACCCTCCCATTCCGCTTGACTCACAGACACATGAGCAACTCAGACACTTCATGGAGATCAGTATTTAACCCTTTATCTCTTTCACTTCTTCACACTGACACATGGTGTCAGGGAGGATTTAAAAGTGTTGATTCTTAAAAATATTAGTAAATAAACAACCAAGAGTCAAATTTGCTCAAATACTTTAAAAGTCCTCGTCCAATCAGACGATCTCCTTCAACATTTCGGCCACAACAGGTTATTAGGTCTTCAAGGTTTGACATATAAAACTACATCTACTTCTAATCTCATCATTCACTTTCAGTTTGTTTTCCTGTTTATTATAAAAGCCTCTTCTGTCATAATTTTTTCTGTCTCTCCTCTCTTTGGCAAACATCATTAACTAAAAATCAAGTTGAAAATAATGACACTTTTTCCTATAAATCTACAGAAATCAAAGTGTCCACTCGTACAGCTCACCGCTCGCTTCAGGGATGTAGAACGTCTTCTAGCTTTTCCGTCTTTCTCTCTCTCTCTCGTGCATCCACACACACTCTTTCTACACACACATCCAACCACAGCACCCACTCTCACGTCACTTTACTCCTCCCTCTGCCCGTCCCCCTYCCTCCCCCTCTCTCTCCAGCTGGGTTGTGCTCTCTGACTAACTCTGTCCCTGTCTGCGTCTGATTTGTTTTTTCCTCTTCCAGATTGTGTCTTCTGCTCGTTTTAATGGCGCTGCCATAACTTTGACCAAAGACAAACCACTGCAGGATGGGATGAAGGATGAAGCCGGTTTTATTACTGGCTGAGTGTAGGGCTGCAACTAATGATTATTTTAATAATCGATTAATCGGTTGATTATTTTTTTTGATTAATCGGCCAAATCATTAAAACGCTTAATTACATGAATATGAGTAGATATAAATTAAGTTAACTCCTTAAGGATGCAAG